CTAACAGGCACGGTCCCTAAGCCACATTGCTTGTTGTTTAATTAAACAGAAGGGGGGAGATGCTGAGAGCCATAGCCAAGTAGGAATGACGCATGGCAATTTGGGTTGAAAGGTGACCCTGCTCAGGGATTAGGGTGGCTCTGGGGTTAGGGTGGATCCTGCTGAGAATAGGGCGGCTCCAGGATTAGGGCGGAATCTGCTGGGATTAGGCGTATCCTGCTGCCTCAGGCGCCCACTCCTTTGGTTTTTCCATTGAGTTCTCCCCGGGTTCTGAGAGAATCGGCACATGGAGCTGGATGGAGGCAGTGTGTTCACGGGTATTGTGGGTAGAGTGTCAGTGAGAGTTCGGGAATAAAGAGTTGCTGTTTCAATCTACAAGGCTTTGTGGTGGCTCTGTTATACTGTGCCCAGCCAGACTTCAGCACAAAAATGATTAAAATATACCGTTCTTTTCTTTCTGTCTGTCTTTATTTCTTTTTTTAATTGTTGATAGACCTTTATTTTAAGTATTTATGTGCAGTTCTGAGAATAGAACTCAGTGCCTCACACATGCTAGGCAAGCTCTCTACCACTGAGCCACAGTAAAATTCATTTTTTAAACTTTTAAATGAGAATAATATGTGTCTATTAGTTTTACATTTTTGATTGCCTTATTTGGGGTTTGTTTTTTGAATAAAAGTTGTTTACTTTAGCAAAGAAATACAATCCACTTATTGATATGACTCTTTCTTCTCAAAATTCACACACATTTTGCTTTTCTCATTTTTTTCATCTATATGCCTGAACTCACCCACAATCTCACTTTAGTTCCTCTCCACTGGTTCAACACAGAATTCTTTCTTCCATTCCTTACATATAAAAAAGTTTACATGCTCACAGCATAGCCACCTTCTGTATCTCATTGCTGTATTTTACATAGGCTTTACAGACCCATGTGATTATGTTCTGAATACTTGAATTATTATGTTTAAGATGGTCTTTTGCCTTTAAGAATCAGCACTTGGGCATGGTTGGGCAAGCTTGTAATGGCAGTGACTTGAAAGGCTGAGACAGGATGATCCCTAGTTCAAGGCCAGCCTAAGCAAGTTAGGGAGACCCTGAGAAATTTAGCAAGACCCTGTCTAAAAATATAAAAGAAAAAAAAGGGTTGGGGACTTAGTTCAGGGCTAAAGTGCTCTTGGGTTCAATACTCAGTCCAAAAAACCACAAGGGCTAAAGAGGTGTAAGGAAAAGCAGTGGATGTGAACTAAGTATTGTAAACTCCATTATTTAACATGTTAGGTTTTCAGGGCCTACTCAGAGTTAGGTAAAAGTGATACTTTGTTCTTTTTGGTACTGAAGATTGAACTTGGGGCACTTTACCAGTGAGCCATATCTCCAGCCCCTTTTATGTTTTGTTTTGAAACAAGGTCTTGCTAATTCTTAGGGCCTTGTTAAGTCCTTAGAGACTCACACTAAGTTGCTGAGGCTGGCCTCAAACTTGAAATCCTCCTCCCTCATCTTTTAACACCTCTGGGATTACAGGTATGTGCCATTGCACTTGGCAATTCTTTGTTTTAAAGCATGTGAATATTTTGCTGTCAGTTGCTCTGTGTACAATATACTGTTTAAAATGTGTACATTGTATATACCTGTGTTTCTGCTCTGGATACTGGACTTGTTAAGTAGAAAGTTAAGGCTTTTTAAATATCTATTTTTTAGTTTTATGTGGACACAATATCTTTATTTTATCTTTATGTGGTGCTGAGCATCGAACCCAGTGCCTCCTAAATGCTAGGCGAACACTCTACCACAGAGCCACAACCCCAGCCCCAGAAAAATAAGTGTTTATCTTCCCAAATAGCAGAATGTTGCAGTGTAAAGTGTATTAGTCAAGGCAGTGGATATGAGCTGAGTATATTAAACTCATTTATTTAGCTAGGGAGGCTATCACGGCCAATTTTAAAGATATTTTAAAATCATTTCCAATTCTTTTTTATTGAAATATTTTTATTAATTTTTAATTTTTTTGATAGTTGTCCTTTAAGTTATACATGATCATAGAATGTATTTGACTCATTTCCAATTCTTTAGGCTCACCCTGTGATCCCACCTTCATCCTGGACTGCGCTCCTTGCAATGTGATCTGCTCCATTATTTTCAAGAACCGGTATGACTACCAAGATCCAGATTTTCTCACCTTGATGAACAAGTTCAATGAAAACATGAGGATTATGACCTCTACATGGGCGCAAGTGAGGCCAAGATCCATTCTCCCTTAGAAACACTTTAGTCTTTTTTCTTCAGACACATCCAAAATAGTATATGGTGCTTGAGGTGATGTGATTGCCTGGATTGTACTGTCTTGCCTAGAGCCATGGAGCAAATATCTGGGAAAGGTTTTGAATTCTTTATTTG